AAGGAAATCGACTCATCATCCAACGGCAGCTTCAATGCCTCCAAGAAGAGCTGGTGGGGAGCCACGCTATCAGTAACCGGATCCAGTTCCCACAGACGCTCATCCTCGTCCTCCTGGGTCCGGGAATTCATCTCTGATACTTGGTCGGCCGTGACGGGTAGGAAGAGGAGAGGCTCGAATGCCGATGAGGGACTTTATGTTCCTCTTCAGACCGTGGAACCGCCGGTTTGATCTATTCCTTTTTTGTCTTTTTCGGATTTTGATAATGAATAATCTATCTGTTGGAGTTATTATATATCTACGTCTATATTGCATGATTGGTGTTTCAAGGATGTTATGACCTCCTAATGATGAATATATGCATGCTATCTATCTACTATATCTGTTGACTGGGTTTTGTGTTCATGATGGATTGTGATGTGCTGTCGTTACGAATGTTGCTACATACACAGTATATGAAACTCAATCGGATCAAGTTTGGATATTTTTACATTCGCATTTGGGTAGTTATGCAAGCATACTCGCTGTAAGTTATACTAAGTAGTGGTGTAAGTGATCGATAACGCCGAGGAAGCACGGTTCATGACAACTACAGTCAAAGTCAAGTCATCATTCATGATTTAACAATGTAAGCTAGCTAGCAGGCAGAGTCCCAAAAAAGAAATGTAATGCGCGACAAGACAACGCACGACACGCTAATAGATTATGAATATCATATCATACGACGTCCCAAAAGCTACGCCTGCTGTTGCTGTTGCTGCTGCTCTTTATCCGCCGTCTCAGATACTGAAGCGTTCTCCTCCGGTGCTTTGACATCGTCTAGAGAAATATCTCCATCTCCATCCGCTGTCGGCTTAGCACCACCTTCTTCTCCATCCTGACTAGTAGTCTGCTGCTGTTCTTGTTGCTGCTGTCCTTGCCCCTGCTCCTCCTGCTGCGGCTGCAGCTGGGAAGTCTCCTGTCCCGCAGCCTGCAGTCCTGGCGCCTCCTCCCCTCCACTCGAGAGATCCATCTCCACACCCCTACCATCCTGTAACCCTAGATCTTCCACTCCGACTACAGAGGGACCTCTGGCATGCGGAATATCCTCCAATGTTTCAGCCGACGGAGCTTCACTCGTGCTTTCATTTCCATTCGTGTCCGCTGTCACTACCGTCGCCGTCTCCGTAGTAGTGACAGACCCCAGCTGCTGATGTCCTTGCTCAGTGACAGTGCTCTCCACTACCTGGGCAGTGAACCCAGTATCTCCCATAAGCGCGCCGCTTTCACCCTCATGTTCCGGCGACGAAGGATCGTTACTCAACCATGGGATTGGCGTGAGAAGTGCTCCACCCAGAGACTCATCGCTGCCGAGTGTATGGTCCGGGAATAGGAGGCCGGTATCGGCGCCGTTGATGATCGCGCCGTTGGGCTGGGGAGCGGCGCCATGGTGTGTCGAGTGGAGAGGGAATATTTCCGCGCTGCTAGTGACGCAGACGACACGGTCGACGGCGCGAAGATATGCGGGAAGAGTGCGGTAGTGGGCCGTAGGACGAACGATGAGTTCTGCGAGACGTTGGATAGTGTGTGGTGGTTTCGAGGCGAAGAGGGATTGCAAGGTGGATTTGATGGAGTTTAGGTGGTGTTGGAGGGGTTCGGGAAGAGAGGAGCCCTGCGAGGACTGGGATTGGGAGTCGGGGATACGCTCAGTTGTGGTGGATTGCTGCGACGATGGTTCGGGCTGTGTGGAGGTTTGGAGGGTTGTAGATGGCGTGGTTGTGGGGACGGTGGGATTGGCAGACTGCTGTTGAAGGTCGGGAGGGATACGCGGCATTGGAAAAACGTTATATATGATCTGGTTGCAAGTTTTAGTAGTTGGTGATTGGTTTGGTGGGTGGTAGGGGGTTGCGCACATATTCCAATCGTTCAAGCAGGGGTTCGACCATGCTGGGCCATTTCTCACTGGAGGAAACGGGGCACGTCAGCTCCGATTGTACTGTTGATGCTTGGTTGGGGCGCAAGTTGACATACTAGTCCATCGTGCCGCCATTGGCGACTGTCTCGAGGCTTTCTTCGTCTGCGAGTGCATGTTGAGTTAGCTGGCTGGAGCTTGAAGCGGTGCCTGACAAGCTCATTGTGGAATGAAAGCAAACGGCGCAGGTCAAGAGGCACGAAAGCAGCATTGCAGTTCGATCCCAGCAGTGACAGTAGGTTCAGACTTACCCAGCGACATGATCCAGCACTTCTGCGCCCAGCGAAGTGAAATGCGACAGGGCCAATAGGGGATGTGCAGAGGAAGAGCAGCAAATGACGGGCGGAATTGACATGGCTCGATCTGGACACGCGGGGACGGCGTCTCCCCCGGCAACCGCAGGCTCTGATTGGGCCTGCCAGCCGCTTATCACTGGTGCACGTGATGGTTATCGGGCGGATTTTTTGCTCCGCCGTGGAGGGGCTGCTTTTCTCTTCCCCAGATCTCCCCCCTCTGCTTGGTGCGTGCTGGTGCCTGTCCATCTCCTTTTTTTTTAATACCCTCCCTGTTCTTTTATATCCCCCTTAATCTCAATATGTGGAACTCCCGCAAGGTGGGGATCCTCGGTGGAGGCCAATTGGGCCGTATGCTGGTCGAATCGGCCAACCGCCTCAACATCCAGTGCAACGTTCTTGATGCGGAGAACTCCCCGGCTAAGCAGATTAGCTCCCACGATGACCATGTCACCGGCTCCTTCAAGGAGCGCGAAGCCGTCCGCGAATTGGCCAAGTCCTGCGACGTCGTGACTGCTGAGATTGAGCACGTCGATACCTATGCCCTGGAGGAGATCGCCTCGCAGGTCCGCATCGAGCCCAGTTGGCAGGCCATCCGCACCATCCAGAACAAGTACAACCAGAAGGAACACCTCCGCAAATATGGCATCCCCATGGCTGAGCACCGCGAGCTCGCTGAGAATACCCCCGAGGCATTGGCCAAGGTTGGCGAGGAGCTTGGCTACCCCTTGATGCTGAAGTCGAAGACCATGGCCTACGATGGACGTGGTGAGTCACCCGTGTCCCAATTGCTGTTCTACTATCTACCACCAACCTCCACTAACCCAATCCCTAATCTATCAGGAAACTTCCACGTGCGCGGTGCACACGATATCCCCGAAGCCCTCGAGTTCCTCAAGGGCCGTCCTCTGTATGCCGAGAAATGGGCCTACTTCAAGATGGTATGTCCCACCCCCCGCCTCCACACGAAATGACCCCCACCACCACCATCTAACACCCCATACCGCAGGAACTCGCTGTCATGGTCGTGAAGACCAAGGACGAAGTCCTCTCCTACCCCACCGTTGAAACCGTGCAAGAAGACTCCATCTGCAAGCTCGTCTACGCCCCCGCCCGCAACGTCTCCGACGCCATCAACCGCAAGGCGCAAGAACTGGCGCGGAAAGCCGTCTCGGCGTTCGAAGGCAAGGGTGTCTTCGGCGTGGAGATGTTCCTCCTGGAAGATGACAGCCTTCTCCTGTGTGAGATTGCCAGCCGTATCCACAACTCGGGCCACTACACCATCGAAGGCTGCCCCATGTCTCAATTCGAAGCCCACATCCGCGCCATCCTCGACCTCCCCATTCCCCCTCAGAGTCTCCAAATCCGCCAACCCTCCATCATGCTGAACATCATCGGCGGCTCCGCCCCGGACACCCATCTCAAGGCTGCCGAAGCGGCCCTCTCCATCCCCAACGCCAGCATCCACCTCTACAGCAAGGGCGCCGCCAAACCCGGCCGCAAGATGGGTCACGTCACCGTCACCGCCCCGACCATGCACGAAGCCGAATCCCACATCCAGCCTCTCATCGACGTTGTCGACGACATCCGCTCCCAGCGCAGCGACGTCCGCTCCAAGCCCCAGAAGTCCGGCGTCTCCAAGCCTGCCCCCTCCGTCGCCGTCATCATGGGCTCCGACAGTGACCTCAAGACCCTGGTGCCCGGTCTCAAGCTCCTGCGCGACTACTTCGGCGTTGAGCCCGACGTGGAAATCACCTCCGCTCATCGCACCCCCACCTACATGGCCGAATACTCTGCCAATGCCGCCGCCCGTGGCATCAAGGTCATCATTGCTGCCGCAGGAGGTGCCGCTCACCTCCCCGGTATGTCGGCCGCTCATACCGCGCTGCCGGTGATCGGTGTCCCGGTTAAGGGTAGCTCGTTGGATGGAGTCGATAGTCTGTACAGCATTGTGCAGATGCCTAGGGGTGAGTCTTCCCCTTTCCCTTTCCCTTTCCCTTTCCTTTTCCTTCTCATTCCCTTATTACATCTATCCCTTCAATTCCATATCCGTCACCTGTCACATGGACTACTCCTGCATGACATGCATATCATACATGTTGCATGCATCCAAGCTGACAATATGTTTTCATTTAACAGGTGTCCCCGTCGCCACCGTCGGCATCAACAACAGCATCAATGCTGCCCTCCTGGCCGCTCGTATCCTCGGTGCTTTCGACCCGGCTATCCAGCGCAAGGTTGAGGCGTATGCGGAGAGCGCACGCGCTGAGAACATGGAGCTGAAGGGTACTAAGCTGCGCGAGCTTGGTTGGGAAAAGTACTTTGAGCAAATGTAATGGATGTTATGATTGAATGGGTCAAGTTGTTCAAATGGGTTGAAATTATATAGAGTTTAGAAGCAAGTTTTAAAAGGGGTAATGATTAGGTTTTCCTGAAGATAATGCTTCATTATTGCATATCGTGTGACTGTAATGAGCAAGATAATTTACTTACACATTAGTATACATTATACAGCTACTATCTATTATAGCTGTTGTAAATCTTGTCCGAACATATCGCAGGATATCACAATGAATTAATCATTAACTACTAACACACTTGTGCTGATAAGTGAAACATTAAGTTCGTATAACAAATGAAAGACACAACGTCACAAGGTATCAAATACAGTACAGGCAGAATAAAACAATGACAAAAGAGATACTTGGCTGCGTGTATGAGCATGTTGAACTCTACAGTCCCTCCACACTATTGACCTAAGCAGTTTGAGGGTTGAAGGCCGTTTCGACGCCTGGAACCGTGGTGCGAGTACCACCGCCAACGTTTCCGTCACTGAACGCTTGGTTGACTTCATCGGAGAATTTCTGGGACGCGGCCGCATGGTCATATGTCTTGGAGTGACCATTGGTATGTCCATTTGTATGTCCATTGGTCCCGGAAATAGCGTGCTTGCCATTGGTCACTCGACCATCCATAGGCTGCGCACCTCCGTTGGTCACTTTCTCATTCTGGGTGATAGCGGTAGTCCCATTGGTGACACCTCCATTGGTCTGGTTAACATTCGTGACTCTGCCGTTTGTGGCGCCTCCATTAGTCACTCCACTAACACCACCCTTTTCGGCAGGTGATTCCCGTTTGCGAGAAATGTCACCCGCCTTAGGAATATCAGAAGATTCCGAGGCGCTGCCAATGCTGAAGATGGGAGATTCCCAGCGTTCACCCTTCATCGCAAGTTCCTTGTACTCAGTGGCCTTGGTACTGATGCCGCCAGGAAGCTTGATCTCGGGGAAGAGGGAATCATGCAGAGTTGTAGCTGTCTGCACCTTAGTGTCTCGTTTGGCAATCTCTTGCGCCTTCCGCTTCTTGTCCTCATTTCTGGCACGGAAAGCATCAAGATAGCGGGAGTAGATGTTGGGCGCGTTTGCGGGATCCTGGCTACTAGCCTCCTGTGCCTTCTTTGCCTCACTGTGGATTTCGTAGGCAAAGGCATCTCCCTTGGCGAAGGCGTCCCGGATCTGCTGCTCGAGTACCTTTTCCAGAGTTGGGCGGACGACCCGGAATAACAATGGCTTAAAGACCGTGAATAGGGTCTTGTGCTTTGACTTCTTCAACTTGACGTTGAGGGAGTCAATCTTAACAGTCACCTTATCCAATTTGATGAAGTTCTGCCGGTCTTCCTTCTGGGCAGTGGAGGCTGCAATCTTGAATCCAAAGCCTTCGCCACCCAAGAAGATGTCCATGATTCCCGTGTCGGTGATAGCAGGGAATCCCTGCTTCTTGTTGACATAGTAGCTCACATCTGTAGAAGTTGTGTTAGTAAAAAGTATCAGAGCGAACGACGACAACTAGAGATAATTTAACGTACCTCGGAGATCGGCTTGAATTCCGGACACCGAAATCATAATCTTTGGGCACATCGTCAGTATTATTCCCCTAAATAATCTTGATAGTGAGTCAACCAACCTTGTTGTCCCTCTTGCTGCTGATTTTCTTGCGTCCCCACCGGAAGTAGTTGTCGCTGCCAAATTCCACGACGTTCGGCATCAAGTTATCGCTCTCAATGACGAGGTTTTCCACAACCTTTCAGATTGTTAGCCACGAACTCAGCATAAGACAACTCAGGTATACTTACGACATCGGCTGCGGGATCAGACACTTCGATACGAGGAACGGGGACATAGCGGACATTTTCGAGAACTTCAGGTAGGATAACATCCCTAATGTCCTTGACGAGATGCTTCTTGAAGGCCATGTTGCCGCTGTTGTCGCGACCAAGGTCATCGAAGAGCTTCTGCATCGCATCCCCAAATGCTTTGTTTTGAGGGTCTTGGTTGAACTGATCGCCAAGGAACTTAAGCTCATCAAGAATGCGATCGGTATGATCCCTGTAGCGCTCACGCAGGAGGTAACGGCCATGGTCAGTGAGTTGGTCCCACTGGCGATTGCAATCATCATCCATAATATAGCCTTGCTCGGTTAGGGTTTTCCTGTGAGATTATTAGCACACCGCCTAGGTTCCTTTTGCACTCGTATACTCACCGGATGAAGGTGTCCATGTTTCGGAACCATCCTTTCAGCTCAGGATCCCTGTCTGCATCTCGGTAGATGTTGTCCAGAGAGTCAAATAGATTGTCCAGGGACGTGTGGTTGGCAAAACGTTCAATCAATGTCTGGTCAGAGGGGGTTAGTGACTGCTTATTCGACAAGACTGACTGACGTACCCGAAGATTGGCCTCCATTCGCTGGATCTTATCGCCGCTTCGGAAGCCCTGGACTGAACCAGCACCCTGCTGGGACAAGTTCCGTCCGTGGGAACCATACTTTTCAGCCATCGAAAGAAGAGTTCGGATTGCCTGTTGGTCTGTTTCACAGTCAGTCGACCGTCTATGGGCCCATGTCGTTGAAGGATAACTTACAATCAGAATGGCCTTGAATCTCAATGACCATCTTCTTCAAGCGCCAAATAGTCTGATCCCGTCGCTCTTGGGGCACCTTTTCTGACAAGTAGCTCTTGGTCCTGTCCTTGTATTCACGAGTACGGCCCTTTGCCTCTTCAGGGACATTCTCCGAAATCTTATCCTGGGCTCTACCTGCACCTGCAGCAAGACCAGCGCGCGCGTCAACATCAGAGACGGATGAAGGTTCTTGGCCACCGGTGGCAGCCTGAGCCGCAGTACCAGCGACTTCCTGCTTACCCTCCTGTTGATATGTGAGTCAATTGGTACGGCAATATTGATTCAGAAAAACTCACGTCCTTGTTTCTCCTAAAGCGAGACTTGAATGTTTCCTTGTGCTTGGAAAAATCAGGCTGCTCGTGCCACACATTCTCTTCAGCTGGCTCATCAATCTGGGAAAGTTGTTCCTCTGATGGCCTCAGCTTGTTTGCGGCCTTCTGGGAGACGTCGCCAGCCATATCACGTGCCAGCGTCATAGCATCGTTTACTGGACGATATTGTTAGACTCCATGTTCCCGGTCAAGATGCAAGTCAACTTACATAGCTTTCGGAATTCTCCGTTCGTGATCAGGAGCCGTCCAAGGGTCTTGAGACCCTCTAGGGCTTCCTGACCGTCTTGCTGGGCCGCATCCTTCGTCACAGGCACACCTGGCTTCTCTGTATCCCCGGAGGAGACAGTCTGTGCCTCCCACAGGAACTCCTGCAAGAGCTGACCCTCATTCTTGCTCAGCATAAGTTTCTTGGCATGTTCGATAACGTTACGGAGATCCTGGACGAGGGTCTGGCCTTCACCAGACAGCTCCTGGGACGGTGACGAGAGCGCCTTAGATTTGAGAGCACTGTTCAGGGCAACGTCGCATTGTTTGTTCTATGATGAATGATACCATTGTCAGCAGGCAGCACAAACATGATAATTGAGTCATTGCACTCACCGATGGAAGCTTGCCATTCTTGAAGGCTACATGGCTCTATTAGCACAAGATATGCTGATACACGATCAATAGTATTAATTTACCTTGATAGATTCCATAAAGCTGCAGCTTCTGGTTGATATCCTGGAGCGAGATTCGGGTTAGCGTCCTTACTTCCAGCTTTCGAGAAGAGTGAGAGGGCATCATACCTGTTCCTTCTGCTTGGTGTTCAGCGGATGATTGACTGCTTTGGACGGCATTGCGGCAAGATGACCAGATTGACTGGCTAAAATTGACGTCTACGAGGCTCCAAAGCCAAGCAAGAAAGTTTTCTTGTTTTAAGTGTATGTATGTGGGAGAAAGTCGGCAGTCGCAAGGGGGACCACTGGCCAGCAGGTTCGGGGCGTCTGGCCAAGATCCGGGGTTAGGTATCTGAGAAGACAGACAGAACAGAGATCAAACAAGGTAAAAGATAAAGTGCACGACAAGACGATAAGCAGACGACAAGGCTGATCTTCACTTTGAGACTGCAAACAAGGGATAAAAAAAAAGAGTCGCGTCGCTGGGTATCTCCGGAATGAAGGACGCCGAGGACGGATGGGGTATTAGGTTGACAAGGGTAGTAAAGTTGTAGTAGTGTAACTTGTAGTAGGAAGGGGGGGGAGGAAGAATGTACGCCGAAAGAAATCGTGGTATCAATTAAAACGACGAGTGGATCAAGGGAAGGAAGGAACTACGACGACGAAGAAGTTTTCTACGGATTTAAATACAACTGGACGCATGCAGCGAAAGGGCAGGAGCGTAATGGCGCGGGTGGTGCCTGCCAGTTTGGGCCAGCGCACCTGTTTGACGTCATGGTGTCGTTGGTGACGAACAGAACAGGCAAAGGTGAAGTCCGGGTTTGTGTCTTGGTTCCTGAAAAAAGATTTAGTCGAGATAAACAGCATAGGGGGTGGAAAGAAAGGAGGATTGAGTTTGTACGACGATGAGATCATCATCGTGCCGAGCGATGAAGTCAAGGGCGGACGCGCCAGCTCAAAGATCTGGCCCGCCATCCACTCACGATCGGCGCTACGAGCCTGGATGTTGCGCGGATCATCCCTACGACTCCCTACTTCAGCCCTTCTAACAAGTCGTCGGGCTGAGCCAGCTGTAGTGTTCTTAGCTAATGGATTCATTCAGGAGTTACTGAGGTTGCTTGCATGCATGCACGCGCGAGAGAGAAGCAGCAATGGGACTTGAGAGCCATGGAATCATTTCAACCGGAACATGTGATCCATCCACGTCAGGAGAATTGGTGCTACTACTCCGTACCTATAGATAGATAGATAGATAGATAGATCATCCCATCCCTAAGGATGCTGGTAGCTTAACTTTGAACGGGCGCTCAACAAGTTGATCCCATCAACAATAGCATACCCGAAATCTAATTGATGAAAGACCAAAAAAGAAAGAGAAAGCGGATCCCTTCCCATGGCCTGATATCAAAGGAAAACATTTCTTTTTTCTTTTTAAAGTAACGCGGAAATACATTTTACTCATTGGCAGCCTTGGAGGAAAAAGCAAGCTTAAGCTTCTTCTGCCTTATGGGGGTGACTGTGGACTTTATGTGGGTATTTGCCCACCCTCCATTGCGACTTAGTGCAAATTGCAAAGGACTACTAGTACTTCCCTAGTAAAAGTAAATAACTACACTGCTTTTACTAGGGAAAAGCAGTGTAATAAGATCGACTGATTGACTGTCCGCGACGCATCACTGTGACGTCACGAGTAGTCTTTCTCTTCTCGCTCTTGTCTCTCTGCCCTTCGAGTATCTACTCGAATTTGTTTGTATCGATGTATTTTGTTCACTTCATTGCTACGGTATGAGTGCGGTGCCTGATGCTAAATTTGGGAACAAGTTTCCATGGTGAAAAAGGGGACGGGTTTCCAAGAAGGCTCGAGAAGCAAGGGAGGGCTCACGAAAAATTCATAATGTCAAGCGTGTACTTGACGCGTGTCTTTGAGCGCGTTTAGTCTTTCTTTTCCTCTCCTACTACTCCGGACCTATGGAGTCTGTTGTAACTAGCTTGCTAGAGCTGTACTACCGTAAGCTTATAAGTGCGGTCAACTGGCTCCGATCTTCACCAGCCACACTGTCTCTGGGTCTTCTCCAATGAACGATTGGCCGGTAGATCAATGGATGGGCGCCAGCATCGCTTACGATCAAATCCCGAGCTACCTACACTGAGTACGGAGGTTGATGTTCCCGTGCATTTTCTCGAATGCTTTGGAGGAAAGCGGAGAGATGCTAGCCCACATGGCCCGATGCGATCGGCCTTTTGGTGTGGCTGCTCGCATCCCTTGCAGCACTTATCCGCAACCGGGAGACTCTCGTAGGGCCCGCCCGAGTTCTCCCTGCTACCGACTGTCATTCAAGTACATGCATTCTCTGAAGGCATCCCACAGAGGAAGAGGTGAAGGGAAAAGGAAATCAAGATACAATACACATAGAGGGTAAGGTCACTTTTTCTCCGAGTACTATCGTTATCCGACATCACCTCGCTCACATATAACATGTGCAACCAGAAAAGAAAGAAAAAAAAAATCATACAATATTACCAAAACACAAGGGCATAGAATAAGGCATTATTGGTGATTTATGAAGCAGACATCCCTTGCCTTGGCCCTCGCCGAGGGCCAGTTTATCCAATGTCAAAGCCTAGGTATCCTGTTCCTGCAGGCACCATCGTAGAGTAGCCAGCCATATAGGCTGTAGAGCCCGCCAGGTATGGGTTCGATGCATGTAGAAGACGGCTCCGAGCGGGTTCGGACATTTGCTGGAATTCCCCCAATATACCGGTCGCTCCCCACTTGCTTGCACCATATTGGAGGAGATTGTTGATCTGCAAAAGACATTCCGAGGCGCGCGCGTAAAAGCTCATACAATCTTCACCACTCAAAATCAGCTGTTCCGGGGTCTCCGGAGGTATGGAGGGTAATGCGGGTATCGAAGGGTCCAAGAGAAGGTCCTGGTTTTCTGTAACATCTCGTATGAATCGTCGACCAACTTGATACGTCCTCTGGATATCCAGGAAGGTCATCAAAGGCAACCAAGTAGGGTTCTTCAGCATCTCATAAAGTTCGTTAATGTACTGCATGCAGCAATGGAACAGAACAATTTTGCTGTATTCACATAGTGCAGTCGGTTCGTCGCCAGCAGAAAGAATCACGACGATCGTGTATGATAGCTCCAACCGGTACAGGATAGGGAAGTGGTTTGGTATATTACTCGGGATTTTACCAAACCACTCATATGCTTTTGAGCAGAGAGCCCACGTCGAGGCCGGAGCTTGAAGAGAAGTCTCGTGTTCATGGAAATATTTTCTCTGGTAGCCCTCCGACAGTATCTGGCGAATTTTGACAATGTGCCACGCAGGCTCTGAGCTCCGTAAAAATATATGACTCGTTTCGGTTAGCGATGCCCCTAAGGATGTGGCAGAAGATGGCAAAGCAACATCGACGGACTCGTCTGAGAACGAGAAGGTTCTTTCAAAAGCAGTGCTTATTCCTCTTCAGAAGCGAGATTGAGTTCCTTCGTTAGCTCAAGTATCTAGTACGGGTCTGGAATCATTCAACATACCTGTCCAAGCAGTAAACACAATGGAATACACGGCGACGCAGGTCCAACTGCTCTGAGGCTGACTGAACATCCAAAGGCGGGTCCTGGTGTAGGCCTAGGTCGACTGCTACTCTAACAGCCATCCCTACCAGGTACCAGCTGCGAAAGTGTTGGGGGTCGAATAAGGAATATTGGGCAAGCAGCAGGATTGATTGGATACCGGCTATAGTACCGGGGCGGATGACGTCCTCGGCTTGATTCATTGCCATTGAAATATGAGATAACGCTCTGCGATGACTGGTATCACCAATCTTGAGGGAGAGAGACGCAGAAGCAGTGGCTAAGACCATATGCAAGATCCACTTGTCAAAAGGCTTGGCAAAGCGCCCCCCAGCTTGGTAGACCGCATCTACAGAGGTCCAGAAGCTCGTTTCGACGAAGAATGGAAGCTGTATGTGGATGTTGTCGAAATAATGTTGTAGTAAGTTCGGTATTTCATTGCGCGGCGGTAATGACTGCGCCGGTAGTCTTGGTATCGACTCGGCTTGTGACAGGGACAGAAGAAGGTTGGCGAAAGAAGTGTTCGAAGTAATCCCATGGAAGTCTCTCGAAGTCGCATTGACGGACCTGATCAATGTCAGTCCCAGAAACATCAAGCTAATCTGAGCGACCACTCACAAGAAGCCAAAATCACCCACGAGGTCATCGATGTCAGTGACTTCTTTGCCACCTTCCTGTGCGACAGCACCTGCTGAGGAAATAGATGTGATTGAACTCTGATGGACGACACCCCTTTCATCCACAGATAATGATGATTTCAGGCGACGAAGATCTGCAATTTTCTTTTCCAGTCTTTCGCAGTATCCCTCCAAAGAGGCGACATAGCTTCTTTCCTTTCCTCTGGCAAATTCGTCACTTGCGCCAGAGCAGGTGCTCGCTTTACCAACCCTTTCGCATGCGGAGCAGGCCGGAAGCTTCCCGTCACATTTGATTTTGGCCGTTCGACATCTTGAGCAAGCAGCCACAGGTCGACTGACTTTGAGGAGCGGTCTGTCCAAGAATGAGGTACCCGACATGCTAATTATACATATTCTCTATATCGTACTAGAGAGGGAATAAATTATTCACCAGTCGAAAGGCTAGCTTTGACTCGAGTCCTGCCCTGTCAGCCAAGCTGTTAAACTCGTGACAGCACAATTTGAGCAGATCATAATAGGTACCTACCTTGTAGATAAAGTAGGAGGGATGAGCAGCACAAGTCGCTTTGTTAAAGAGAAAAAGAGGCGCTCAGACGTAGATCTGTTCGGTTTCTATTAGCATGCAGGAAGAACTCAGTGGTGTTCAGCGAGAGCTCCTCGCATCGGATTTATCGCGCGTATTGCAGTCATCTAACTAATATACGACGGCAGGATAGTTGGGGAAAACATAAGTTTTCAACTCCATGTTTCCTTCTTTTTTGACTTCTTCTTGGCTGATGGCCCTGCCTAGGTATGTATATGGCTTTAAGGACTAGAACTCAGAGGCAGATTACTCACCAGGCACTAGCGCTATCAAGTTAGCCGGAAGCCTGGCGGGGGAGGCTGGCTGAACGGGCAAAGTAGCGAGAGGGGTTCAAACTGCCCCGAGTACAGAGAGGGCTGACGGGTGTTAAACTGTCCC